TGTCTGCTGGGTAGGAACAGTAATGATTAAGTGGGATTTTTTTTTTTTTTGATGCTCTGAATATTAGGCTCTCTGTTGTATATAATTAAAACAAAAGTGAACAAGAAATATATAATTTCTCCTAGCTCCAGTGTAATCAGGCATTCATTATCATGTCTAATTCTGTGTTCTGTGAAAAGAACTGCTTAGTAAGCATTTTCTATGATGAGGATGATCAAATACATACAGATATCAGAGAGATTTTAAAAAGACAAAATCAAACATATGGAGAGGCAATGATCTACATGGTATAATATTCCATCTGTGACTAAAGAACTTTCAAGCCAAAAAGAATACTTGTTTCCATTCTGACAATTGGATATTCAAGGAAAAGTAAGAGAGGAAGTCATGGTGTAACTGAGATCTTGTACCATCACACATTATTCTCTATCAAGAAGATGGATGCACCGTGCTACTGTTCTTGATGAGGAACAGAAAAGAGGTGCAATTTCAAGGGCTATTCTGAGAGAAGGGGTTTGCTCTGAGATCTTTTCAGCATGTCAATCATTTAAGTACCACCTTCACTGGCAGGCAAACTTAATGAATATACATGCAGTGAACAATTGATTACCTTGTCGGGTCTCTTTCCATTTCCCTCCCACTATATCATCAGTCACAGTTTTGGAAATATTAAGAGTTCAAACAGACTCACTGAGATTAGATTTTTTATGGTGGGGATTAGCCCCCATACTTCTAAATTGACATTTGATAAACTAGGCTAACAATAGCAGTGCCTGTCAACCACATTTTCTTGCCAAACCCTATATATTAATCTTAAATTGCTGAGAGGCAGAGCTTCTGATTTCCTCCAAGTTGTAGATCAAGTGCCACATCCCCATGTGTTCAACCAACATCAAGCAAGAAGAGCAAATGCCAGGTTTGTAGTACCTACATTTGAATCCTCATGGCTGTGGCCATTGGTCTCGACCAATTCCTTGGTACCTTTTAACTGCAAATTTTAAGGAAAAACAACATAAAACAAAATAATGAATAAGCAAGCAAATCTCTTAAATATATCATCTTGTTAACTGATTTATCTGAGGTTGCATTTTATAAAACTTCCATTGAGGTAAAACAGATGGAGCACATATTTCTAATGAGCCTTATTGGAGCCAGTTTGAGACCAATATTTTATGAAGCTTGATGCCTGGCAAAAGAATAAATGGGTCTTGGTCATTATTTTTTAAATAATAAGATTAGAAAGCAGTTCCATAGGCATAAAATGTATAAAATTGGTTCTTAAGAATAATAAATGATTTCATTTCCTAGTTGGATTGCTATTAATTTAAACCCTGCAGTGTTTGCAAGTTGCCACCAGCAAAATGATGTTATATTAACGATTATTCGTGACTGATGCATTTTTAGCCACTTTTAACATGCTGCTGTGCTACTAGACATGTCTTCCTTGAGAATATGTTTGAATGACTGACATCTCTGGAGGCCTAAAGACGGCTGCTTCTTTGGTAGAGAAAGAGTTTGGATGACATCTCCTTGGCCACTGAAGCATTAGAAGAAACGATATTTCTCAAATGAGATTTTTAACTGTGAACATTTGAAAACACTTCTCTTTCTCAGAGGCTTAGGAGAAATCAGTTATCGGGAGGTTTCAGAAACCCTTTAATTGGCATTTTATCCTATCTTGACTCAAAACAGACATTTAGAATCTGACAGTAAAGGAAGAGGTGAGCGGGCTTGCAGCTGTTTTGCCAGTATTTTTTCCTGGCTTAGGAAGCAGCATCTCCTCCATTATTTTTTTTATGCCTAATACAAAGTATTCATGGTAGGAAAAAATACTTAAGAGTCGAAAGAAAATCAATGCACACATACCACCAATGTGTTTGATTCAGAACACTGGTTCCTTCTATTTGTGCATATGAAAATGAAAGCGTCTTTAGATTTTTAAAGCCAGTCTTAAACTCCTAGCCAAAAAGCCCTACCTACTCTATGCCAAAGGAGGGGTTTTGCCAAAGGAATGGTAACATGAAGAAACTGAGGATCAAGTAGTTGATCATGGACCAAAGGCTCTTTGGCTCATTTCTGTATCACACTCACTTAAGAAAAAAATCTGCCCACTGTTCTTCAGGGCATCATCATTGATGTTTCTACACATGACAGACAGGGGAACATGGGCGATGTATGGCGTATATGACAAGGCAGAGCTGTGCTACAGTGACAGGAATACTACCTATTATCACAGGACACAAAAGGACTTTCTAAAATCCCCTCGCTCTTTTCCTAGCTGAAGGTTTCTTACTATAGGTGTCCCTCATCATCATCTTCTTCATCAGCCCCTCTGCTCATCCCACCTTAGGTCCTGTAGTTTGTGCTCCCATGAGTTAGAGTGGGGTTAGCTCAGAAGGTCTTCCTCTTTCTCAGCAGAAGTAAAGGACTATTTTGTGAATGTCTGTTCCACCTTTATGTGTTCAGCAACATAAATGTGCCAGTTGCTCTCCTCCCTTTTAAATAAACTCCATTCTTCCTATTCCATGATGTCCTCTAACTCTGCCCTCGCTGTTTCTGCTCCTGTTTACTCTCCCTCACTCCCTGTCTCCTGGCATTGTTCACTCCGCTGTGCTCCGTAGCCAGAACCATGGGAGGAAACCCCTCCCGCTGCATGTCGCCCCTCTCCTTCCTTGGAGCTGCAGCTCAGGACAGCTGCTGCTTTGTTGTTCCCTCAGCTCCCTGTTCTTCTCTCCTTTAGCTGCTACTCTCCCCCAGGTAGGGCTGCACATCTTGTCTGATGAAACTTAGGTTTGTGAACAAGCTCCAGATGTAGAACGCTATCCTCATTGCAAAGGAGATGAAAGGCAGGAGTCAGAGGGGCCTGGAGGGACCTAGAGAAGCTGCATCTTTGCATATGGGAAGACTGAGAGCTTAGGGAGTGGCCTGTCCTTCCCTGGAGGGGTGGGGCCTGAGGGTGGGAAAGGTCTGTCCCCAAGACCTATCCTTTCTTGTCAGGATTCCCAGCAAGGGGCAATCCCATTAATAGCAACATCCTAAATCTTCAGAGAAGGGTGTATCTTTCCCTGCATCTGTCCATTTGTTTAGGCCACATCTATGTGGCCGCTGAAACTGTTTGCACATGTAGTTATTCTACACAAATCCAAAGAAAGCCTCAAAGGCAATGGTCAGTGAAGGTGAGAGGTGTGGCTGTCCGTGCACATCTGTGTGTGGGTGCAGGGGCCTGGAAGGAGCCTGTACACTGCATGGCCCTTTTGCAAGAACCACCAAGGGGCAGCAAGTGAGGGGCTCTTGGACAGGTTGGTAATGGTACCAGCACCCAAATATATTTGGTCTCCGGCTTAAAGATTCTTGGTGTCTTTGCTTGGAAAGAGCTATCCCATTTAAATTAATATTGCAGATTCAAAATTCTTCCTTCTCAATCGTATTTTCTAGGTCTTTAATGATTTTAGTTGTTTCAAACCCTCTTCACGTTCTTTTTTTTAATAATGGAGAGTGAAGTGTGCTGTTTCACCCATGACTGTGTGTGCTTTGCTCTTTAAAAATGCATGCCATAACAAGATATATCAACACCTTCTGCAAAACCCAGAATCTAGTTTTATGACTACGGTTTGGACTTAAAATCAAATAAAAGATTTGAGTCATTTAGAGGAAAGAGAAATTCACCCTTCCCCATTCCAGTGGAAGCTATCTAAAAGAAAAAAAAATCAGGGTGAGAGAGCAGAAAAAACAAAAGCTCAGAGCTATATCTGGCTGATTTGGAGCAAATTTGGACCAACTCAGTTCCAAAACGCTGGGAGTCTTTTCATATTATAACATGGAAGGGGCAGTGATTTCAGATCTCCTCAACTACAGGCCATTGTGAATTTAGTCAACTAGATTTTTCACTTCAATCTGTTATATCTGAAATCATAGTGTCGGCCTCAGTACATGTTACTGAACCTATATTCATCACATAAAGATAATTATTAGTTTTATGAAGTATTTTCTTCCAAAGCTATAAAAGTTTATAAACCAATATCTTTACTTTCCCCTCACAAATCAATCATACCTTTCGGAGAAAATAACTCAAAAGATATTTTCTGGACCCCAAAGCATTAAAAAAAATCACTCATAAAGTGACATAGAGCTGACTTCATATATTCTCAAATGTCACCTTTGAAGTTATTTATACAGTATAAGGTTATTTACACAGTATAAATCCAGGATGTATGGGTGAAAAATTTAAAACAACCTGCATTTCATTACCCACAGAGGGTTGGGGCTACTGTATGCAACTTTTTTCTTCAAATTACCATTCATATATTGTTGGCAGCAAGTGAAGGCCAGAAATAGGAAGGCATTTCAAGAGCTCTCCTGACTCCTCTCATGTAGATAGTGGGCTTAGATTTCACTCTGCTGCCTGCTGAGTGCTCCGTCTTACCCTGCTGTAAGACAATACTTTCCAATCCACTTATCAATGTCAGGCCACACTTTAGTATCAAAGAAAGCCAGAATGAAATGATCAGATTTACAAACTTCATATAAAAGGTCTGTTGCTCACCATGGTTAGATAAGTACCCTGATGCACCGGGAAGATATATTTTAAGTGTTGCTATGAATCAGTCCCTGTTCATGTGTCTGCAGGAGTCTCATGGGTTATGCTAAACTCATTTTCCTCACTGTTAGACTTAAGAGGAAACCAGCTGCTTACTTTGAAACTTTGAAACATACCTCATAGCCAATATTTTGAAACTTTATCAGAATTTGGTTGTCTGGAAGAAACTTTCACACAACACTGGCAGGCTTGGGCAATCTAAACAGGTACAGGAGTGAGGACACTGATGCTGAGAATGAGATGATAAATTCTGCATAGCAAAGCTGCTAGGAGGTTTGACAGGGTTCAGGCTAATTGTACTGCAGATTACTTTCTGTAAATGTTTGCACGGGTGACGCACGAGGGAGGTATGCATTGGGGTGTTTGAACTGATTCATAAATCAGAGCTGTTTCATTCACTTACTTGTTCCTGGAGGACTTTTAGTAACGCTTGTGTATGTGACTGCTCTTCCTTTGCTTGTTCCAATTCTGACTTTTTGTTGTTTAATTCCTCCTGGATGGTTAGCAATTGCTGTGAAATTAAAGGATATTTAGCATAAGTAGGATTGAAGGTCAGATGATTTAAAAATATCCATAAAACCCATTCAAAAGTATAAGTAGAAGATTTTTACATGTCTTGAAGCTGAATTCAGACCTCAGTTGACCTTGTGTGTTTTCCACACTAAGTATTGGGGCATTGGAGTTTTTGACACACTGTTATGTTTTTTGTAATACCGATGTGCAAAACTTGTTTTCATATTTGTGAAGGCATTATTATACTCCTTTGAGCAAATGCCTGTTTGTAAAAAATATATAGGGTAGTGCTAATACATAACACATTGATAGATGAAAAAATTAAATAAAAATTTAATTAACTTGTCCAATATTGCTTCATTTCACATATTACAGTAAAGCTAGATTTACAGTAATTCTATAAAGCTACTTTGCCAAGTTGCTGGGACCACAAAAGATCCTTTTACTTTCTCTGTTATGATGGTGATGTTTTATTAGATCAGCAGGACTGAAGTCCAAACTGCAATCAATATATCAGCTGAGAAAACTGCTGATATAAACTGTCAAAACACTAAGCTATGGCCTACACTGCTGTTTTTAAGCAGGGCCACTGAAGGGATTTTTGTAAGCCTTGAGCTTCCCTTGCCCTATCAACTGTAACTCATGTGAAGGCTTTCCTTGTGTGCCAAAAGCACAGCCCTGCACAGTGTAAATTCTTTGGGACATGGTTATATGTTAATATATACATAGGTTGGAGAATACATTCAAGAGCTGCAAAACAGGCCCTGGAAACAGCTCTGACTATTCAGAGCTTCTTGACAACAAATGACTAGTTCGAAAAGACAGAAGTGCATTTCTTCTGCTACTGTACATAACAGTTGCTGTACTAATGATCTAGAAATGATAGTGGATTCCTGCCGTGAAGAGACCCTGTCTCCAGTAGCCAGGCTACTTCTTCAGGGCCTTGACAAGCTGGCTGCAGAGCTGTCTGGCCAGTTCCTAACCATCAAAGCCCGGAGAAACATTGGCACTGGATTTCTCAGGCTTAAACCTACCAACTGAAAGGATTAAATTAAATCTCCAAAACTACTGGTTTGGGGGGATTTTGCAGGGTAGGAAGTACTCAGAAAAACATATTGCACTTTCCCTTGGGCTTGCTTGTTCTGCTAACTGCTGGGGCACTGGGTATAAATATAAGAACCTACTTTGGTCCTGTAGCATAAACAGTGATTTCTTGAAATTTTCTAAAAGCTCAGTGCGTCCTATTTCATGACCTACCCATGAAATAATCAATCACATTTGAGGTAATGCATACATTCCACATTGGCTCCCTTAACAGTTTATGGGATTTAATTGTGCATCATTGATTAAAGTATAGAAACCAGGGAGCCCATATTGCACTTTGGCACAGTGACAAGTACCTACATTGTGTCCAGACAGTGGGGAATGGCCCTGTTCCTTCACTCACATTCCTGACTGGCCCCAGAACAGTTCCAAAGGGAACAGGTACTCTGACTTGGGTAATGCTGAGTGAATTTTACTTTCTGAGACAATTTCAAATCCAATCCTTAAACCTCTTTTGAAAAATGAGCCAAATGAAGGATAGAAAATCGTCTTCCAAGGTAGGTAGCTTAGGTTTGTTTATTGCAGCGTTTGGGGTGGCAGAACCAAAAATAACTGATGTCCAGAAGAAGGGAGGTGGACGTTAATAATGGTGTATCGGTATCACAGGACACCATGAGCCCTCTAGAATGTAGTTGCACTAATGTCTCCTTATGACACAGGAGAAGCTCACAAAACACTGCTCAGCAAAAAATACATTCAGGTTACAAAATTTAACTTTGCAGCATATTCATAGGAAAGGATCTGGATGCTGTTTCTGGGTGTGTGGGTTCATGGAACTTTCTATTTTGCTTGTCAATTTTCTGGTATATCTGTAAAACACATACTGCATGAGTAATGAGAAAATGTCAAATGAATTTAAGATCAGGGAAGAACAAAGAAAGGAATACCACTTGGACACAACTTTCAACTATTACCAATACTGTGCATAAATAAGAGGAAGAAGTGTATTGGAGTCTTTATTTCATCCACACACTTACAACTCTTTCTTCTATTAAAACAAACACACACACACGCACACACACTCATATACACCCCTTTCCCTTGACCTCTTTTCTTCCTTCACCCTCCCTCTTATCTCATCCATTCTTGGAATCACACTTTTTAAATGAAATGTCTTCACTCTCATCAGTATTTCCTTTTCTTCTTATGTGTAGGCAATCACTTCAGTGATATAGTGTCTAGATTTTTATTTCAATGTGTTTTTCCAAAACATATATTGTTGTTGTTCTGTATGTATTTTTATATAAGTGATACTATGTTTCTTATTTTTTACTATGTTTTAAATTAGCATTATGTTTTTAAGATTGGCCAGGCATGGTGGCTCACGCCTGTAATCCCAGCACTTTGGGAGGCCGATGTGGGCAGATCATGAGGTCAAGAGATCGAGTCCATCCTGACCAACATGGTGAAACCCCGTCTCTATTTAAAAAAAAATACAAAAATTAGCCGGGTGTGGTGATGAGTGCTTGTAGTCCTAGCGACTCTGGAGGCTGAGGTGGAAGTATCACTTGAACTGGGAGGTGGAAGTTGCAGTGAGCTGAGTTTGCGCCACTGCACTCCAGCCTGGTGTCAGAGTGAGATACCATCTCAAAAAAAAAGATCCATCCATGTACTATTTTTTTGTTAATGAATAAATGAATTTATTTAAAAACCTAATAGATTTTCCCTTTTTATTCCCAAAATGTGCTATATTTAAGGAAACTCTGAAATTCCCTTGAGATTTTACTGAGCTTGTTTATTATTATTATTTATTATACGTTAAGTTCTGGGATACATGTGCAGAACGTGCAGGTTTGTTACATAGCTATATACATGTTACTATTTTATATATCTAATCCATGCTTCTTATGGAGTACATCCACCCAATTTTACCCAACCCACTCTCACAGTGAAGGCCATTCAGATTACCCCAATTCTTCCTGCTGTATATAAGCCTGCACTGGAACATGCTAGTGCAAGTTCCCTTATGGCCCTGTGGGAGAATTTCCCTGGGATACGTCTCCAGTGGTAGAACTCTTAGGTCAAAGAGTGAATTTGGCAAAGCTGCTCTCCGGGACGGTTATGCCAGTCTACCTACTGTCAGTGGTGTGTAAGAGCTGCTGTGTGCCACTGAATAATAATACTAAGTATTATTCAGCTTTCTAATTGTTGCCAGTTTAATAGAATATCAAGACTCTTCATCTTTGAAAAATTTCATACTTCTTTGAATCCCTGTGATTTTAAGCATCTCATCATATGCTTGTTAGCTATGGGAGTTTATTTATAATTATTAAAAGAATAGTCAAGAGCAGTGGTTCTTAATTCTGACTCTCCATTAATACTATCTGGGAAACTTTTCAAAAAAATACTTATTTCTGGGCCTGACAGAAGACCAATTAACTCAGAATATTGAGAGGTGGGACACAGGCACTGATCCTTTAAAATACCTTCACAGGTAATTATTCTAATGTGTAACTGGGGATGAAAACCACCGTATCCTGTAATGCTTATTTAATCTTCAGTCTACTATAATGTGACTTTAATCCCTAGTACTCTACTCAATCCGTTCTCACTGCAGTCACCAGTGCCTTGCTAATTGCCAACTAGTATTCCAGGTTCTTTTCTTCTCACTACACGCTCTCTCTAGGGGATCCTATTCATGCCCATGCCTTTAACTACACAGCACATGTGCTAATGCTTTACAAGACTGCCTTTACAGCCTCTGCTTCTTTCTTACCACCTACCAGAACCTTCACTTCTTGTGTTTCCAACTGTGCCCATTAGCATACCTACCCTTCCCACCCCAACCCAGTCTAAGCCTCTTCCCCTGGTATCTAGAATTAAAACCTTGAAGTCAACGCTGGCCCTTTCATCACCCTCACAGCCCCTTTGCCGGTTCCTTGACCTTTTCTCCATCCCATCCTAGCTATCGTAGTAAAGGCTATCATTTCCTTTCCTCTGGGTTCTTCCTGTTCCCCCTGCCATTTATCCAACACTCCTGAGAGTTGACTTCCCATGGATTGAAGTGCTCCCGTGATTAAAAATACTGTTAATTCTCCTACCCCTGTAGATAAAATCTAAACCACTGAACTTCCCATCCTTCCCCAGACATGCCAGCTGCTTCCATGACTTGTAAGTTTCCCACTCAGAATTCTGCCTGGCTGATTCCTGCTCATTCTTTAAGCGCCACCTCACATGTTGCTTTTGGCTTGAGATCAACTCAGCTGATGCCTTTGTAAAATTGAAAAGAGCCCCGTCATCCCAGACACAACTCCTCACTGGGTATATGGTTGGGTACTGGCATTGAGGCTTGATTTCATTCCCACTTACCCCTTTGGCCTGCTGCTCTTCTCCAAGGCTACTACACTACGAAATGCAGTAGGCTTGGGTTCTTCCTCCGTAAAATGTTCTCTAATCACCCAAGCAAAGTTAGTTCATCTACCTTCTTGCTCCCAAAGCACTTAATATGGCATATCACATTTCATATCTGTCTCCCCAACCAGACTACATTCACCAATATTAAGGTCAATGATCAGGTAACCTCTAACATATAATAGGTGCTAAATGAATGAATAAATGAAGGGATGAAAAGTTTACTGTTTCTCCACTTCTATGGGATTAAACCATGATCTAACAATAACAAAAAATCCCCCACCAAAATAACAACAAAAACAACCCTCCCCAAAAACACCTGAGGAACGATAAACTACTAGGGTAATGTGTTGTTCTAAACATAAGAATATAGAAAACTTTTTGAGGAAAACAGCAGTTTCATTTAAGACATTTTGATTCATCAATTAGCAGTTCCAGATATCCTCCTTAATCTGAAAAGAAATATTTCTCAACAGGCTAAGGACATCCAATCAATGAATTTATAATTATGTAATTTATTCCTTAAGTTTCACCACAATAAGC